CCCCCCCCCCCCGCCCCCGCCGTGGTACCAGGGATCGCACTCCTCACCTTGTGCTTGTGAGGCAGGTGCAGCACCACTGAGCTAAATCCCTGGCCCCCCCTTTTTACTTTTTTATTTTGAGATGGGGTCTGGCTGAGTTGCCCAGGCCGGACTGGAACTTGCAATCTTCCTGCCTCGGCCTCCTGACTAGCTGGGACTACGGGTAAGCATCTCTAAACCAGGCTGACAGCTGTCTTTAATGCTTTTGCTGGCTGTGGGCTATTTTCTCTTCATTACCACGTCAAGGTTTTGCACATCCGTTTTCTAGAAAGAATGGAAAGATGATTCGGCTATTTATCTGCTTGAACAATGTGTATCTGTTAGTATTGACATTGTCTTGGGTAAAACTCAAGGATTTCCATGAATGAGCTCATGGTTTGTAGACCCTGCTACAGTTTTCTGTTCCACAGCAGCAATTTTGAAAAGTGCAGGGGATCACAGAAAGCTCAAGGCCAGCCTGAACTATGCATTGAGGCCCTGCCTCAACAAAAAAAAGCAGGATCTGGTGGTGCACGCCTGTAATCCCTATACTTGGGGAGGCTGAGGCAGGAAGATCATTGCAAGTTTGAGGCCAGCCTGGGCTACATATTAAGTTCAAAGACAGCCTGAACTACATGTTGAGACCCTGTCTAAAAACAAAAACAGGGCCGGGGATTTAGCTCAGTGGTTCCACCACCTGCTTCACAAGCACAAGGTCCAGAGCTCGATCCCAGTACCAAAACAAAACCAAACAACAATGAAGAAAAAGAAGAAAGCAGGTTCTTTGACACATTCATTTGTGTACACCGCAGGAGCAAATGTGTTCCTCAAAAGTGGTGCTTTTTACCCTTCCTGGGCATTGAAGGAGCCAGACCCTTGCTGGCTGGGTGCCTGCAAACCTTGTTTCTCCTTCCCATCTGACTCAGAGCCTGGCTCCATGCAAGTGGGTGGCCAGCACCCTTAGGGAACAGCCAGCAAGGATGGGACCAAATTGTAGAAGTGGGCCGTGAGCCTAACAGGCGGTGCCAGCTCTTCCCTGTCCTTGTGTGCTAACGTGCTGGGCGGGCATCACTATGCCACTGGACCCAAGTGTGACGCAGCAGCACCCTCTGGAAGGAGGCGGCAGCCCCAACACCCTGCATCCCAAAGGTCCTGGGACAGGGCATCCAATGGGACAGCCAGTGTCCATCTGAGCCTTGGCAGGGCTTCAGCCCCAGCGTACAGGTTGCCTGCTGCCTGCTTTCGGCCTCCTGCACCAGACATGGGATGGGCATGGTTTCTGGGAGCCGCTGCCTGGCCCCTCCCCAAGGTCACCGTGTGCCCTGACTCTGGCATTGCGGGTTAGGGTGGGTGGGCGCCTTGGGGGTGGAGCTGGTATACGGCACAGAATGGGGTGGGGGCTTGTGAGTAGTTCTTTCTTCTGTATTGTATATACCCCAGAGTTACTGTTTGTCTTCAGACACAGAAAAATGACCACTTTAAAGCCCTCTGGGAAACAAAAACTGGTGACTACTACCTCTAGATCTGAGTTCCTCTCTGCCCTCATTTCCCTTCTGCCTGAGAACCTTTATTTTTATTATTACTATTTTGTTGTTGTTTTTTTGAGACAAGGTCTTGCTATGTAGCCCAGCCTGGTCTCAAACTTGTGGCAATCCTCTTGCCTCAGCCTCCTGGGTGCTGAGTTCGCAGGTGTGCACCCCCCCCCCGTGCCTTCTTCATAAGCGTGTTGTAGCCCCGCCTACCGCAGACGAACTGTCTCACCTTTCATTTCACTGAAGTCTGTTTTGAACCCCACACTGACCGTATCCCAGTGTCTTCCGACCTCCCTGGCTCCCTTTCTCTCCTTGTCCCCCGCAGCAGGCAGTGGGTCCAGTCTATCCTCTGGCTGCTTTTCCAATTCTCTTGGGCTTCAGTTTTCCTATTAGGTGTCTGAGAGCAGTTTTGTTTGCATTAACCTGCTGGGCTTTATGGAGCTCCTTAGGCCTATCAAGGTTTTTCATCACATTGACAGTTTAACAGATACTTAAATATTTGTATTTATTTGTTTATTTTTTGTATTTTGAGACAGGGTCTTTCTATGTAGATAAGGATGGCCTTGAACTCACTATCAAGCTCCTAGTGACCCTCCTGCTTCAACCTCCAGAGTGCTGGGATTACAGGCACGAGTCACTACACCCAGCAGTACTTAAATATTTTTATTATTTCTCTTTATGTAATTCTACAGTTTATGCTTTCTCCCCCACCCCTGGAGTACTGTGGATTGAACCCAGGGCCTTCACACTGAGAGACATGCTCAGACCTTTCTAAACAAATTAATTACTTTAAGCTAAGCATGGTGCTGCGTGCCTGTAATCCCAGCACTTGGGAGGCTGAGGCAGGAGGATTGCTCTGAATGAGGCCAGTCTGGGCTACATAGTGAGTTCAAGGCCGTCCTGAACTACATAGCGAAACCCTGTCTAAAAAAATGACAACAAAAAAACAGCTACCAGAGAGGATCTCTCTGTCTCTGCCTGTCCCTCTCTACCTCTCTGTCTTTTTCTCTCCCTCCAGGGCCTCACTATGTAGTTCCAGCTGACCTTAAACTCTCTATTAGCCTAGATTAGCCTCAAGTCTTGGTGATCTCCTGCTTCAGTGAGCACAGGAATTCCAGGTGTGCATACCACATGCCTGGTGAACACAGAGAATGTCTAATATCCCCCTACAAAGAAACAACAAAGGCCAAGATGAGCAAACCCAAATGTGACACTTCATGTTGTGCCCATGTAGGAAAATATCACAAGTTCGAGCCCAGACTGAGCAACTCAGCACTTTAGCAAGACTCTCAAAATAAAAAATAAACAAGGGCTGGGGATGTAACTCAGTGTGCCACCATGCCTGGCTTTGTGTGTGT